AATACAAAATATTATAAGAGAAAATTTTGCTTTAAAATATTAAAAATCTTTCGATCATTTTTAACCATTCAATAGCCCAAAACTGAATTCTTCGATATATAAATTATTCTACAAATTCAATTCTGACTTCAGTTAATTTGTATTCAAAATTCAATAATAAAATTAAGCATTTAATACCCTTTAAGTAGTGGACAAGATGTGTGTAAATTTTGAAATTCTGAACTTAAGTCGGTTATGTTGATTGAATCATGATTCATGGCTACAATATGATTAAACAGTTCATGAGTTTGTCTTGCTATTTGCTGTAATGGAGCGGCTGTAATGGCTTTCAAATTTAAATGCACTGTAATTATCTAACAGCCCAAACATTTTTACATCTTCGCAAATATGCAGTGTGCCGTGAACATTATGAGAAATATACTATTTTTCATAATAAAACCCAAAATTTACTACAAAGAGTTTTAATAGAGACTGCGTATTCATCAATTGCCGTCTGATTCTGTATTTTGCATAAGAGTCTAATCGAAATATGAAGTAGTAAAAAATGATCATATAGCTTTTTGTTAAATTTTTTAAAAAAAATAAGTGGGCTAGTGTACAGTAAAAATTGACGGTATTTTGTAGCTTTCCAGTGTTTCAATTCTTTTAGTGTTGGTTCCTTGGTTTTCTTGCAAATTCAATTGATACATAAGGCTTTAAAAACTGGTCATTTTTTTTAAAAAAATTAGTTCAACATTTTTATGTGGTAATCGTGCTTGTAAGGTGCCTCCGCCTATCCTAATAGTAATCATTTTTTGTACTACTTCTAAGCACACAAGGAGCATAAAGTCTAACGGAATATTTACTTAGTTCTATATTTGGAATATTCCTTAAAATGGGATAATCGTTTTGGTAATCGTCATCAGTCAGTTCTTCTTGAGACATAAAAGTTCATATTCCGAATCACAGTTTGAAATGGATCTTAAAGAATATTTGCTAGCGCGAAAATTCGACACAGGCTTTTTTCATAATTAAATGGTACTTCATCTTCTGACGAATCCGATAATATACATTGATTTATTCTGCCTATAAATCCGTCTTTTAGATATCTGAGATAATTTTTTTTAGTTCTGATCATTTTTGTAGAATAAAGGAAAAATTTTGAAACTTACTTTTCACACTCTCTCAATGTAATGCTTGCAAGCGTCAGCAAGTCAGTTCGTAACTGAAACAGAATTTGGAACGACGGCTATTAACGTTTAGCAGAATAGCTGAATTCTGGAAATCAGAAAGTAAGCACGTGTAGTTTTCATTTTGTGGGGTTCTTCAAGGATATGACGATTACGGAGCAATTAAAACCGTTGGGGGTATTCTGCGTCCTTTGTTGTGAAGGGATGTTTCCCTCATGGTTCCTACCTCCCTGGTTTCCCTTGTAGGGGTATACAAAGAAGTGAAGGTCTGACACATAAATCTGCCACGTTAACAAAAGGGAAATCTTCTCGGGGCATCGGCTACAGAAAAAGTGCTTAGAGGTGTTACATTCTGATCGGAGCTCGGTTTCTCAAAAGCAAAGAAAATTTGAGAAGCAGTTTAACGAATAATGATAATGATTGAAACAAAGATTTAAGATTTTCGACTTCAATTGTTATTTATAGTATAAAATAAAGTAATAAAACTGCTGAGTTTAAAGAACACCTTTAATTTAAAAATTAAATCATTTTAATTTAAAGTTTGAACATCTATTTAATCCATTATCTGATTTTGAGTTTTCATAACAACATTTAACTTTGTGTTATATACCTTGAACAAACGTGTTTACTGCATTTTCTGGATGTTACAAATAAATTAATAAAGCAGTAATTATTGTTAAATTATGAGGAGTCATGTAGCATTCCCGGCATAACATATAAGACTGCAAAGCGTTGGATATATTTTTTCCGCGCTTTGTTTAGCAAAGATCGAATTTTTGTATGGTTAAAGAGGTAGCAAAGTGAGGCTTGAGGAGAGTAAGAACTTAATGTTAGTTCTTCCCATTCTTAAACCTCATTTTCCTATTACAGAGAGGTAAAAAATAAGTTACTTTTTACCTCAGTCACTTTGAAAGACTGATTGTCATTATTAAAGAACTTACCAGAAAATGAACGAAGAAACTGCAATGAATTTTTTAGCCCAATAAAATTATTCTTCTGTTTATAAATTCAAATTAAAGCAAGTTAAACCTCGTACAGACTAGTTTTTAACTGTGTCTGTAAACTAAAACTTCGTTTGTTAAAAAAATTATTGTTACTTATTACTGCACAGCACTAAACATCATTCATTACTAATATAATAGTGTAACAGATCAAAAAGTATTTTTTTCTTTTGCGGTTTCAAAGTATAGTTATTTCTATGCTAAGAACTATCGATGAATTTAATAGAATACTTTTATAACTTGATATTTCTGATTAGTGCCCCAGAGACGAGTAAGTGATTAGTGACTGATTGCCATACAGAAGGGCTCAAGTTCGAATGCCAGATAAGGTATAGATGTACATTCTACATCATGCCCATCTGTTTCGTGAAAGGTTTTCTGAGCTAACCTATAACGTAAATAGTATTTGTGTTCAAAGATATTAGAAAAGTATCTAAAATAATGTTTACAAAATATATTATGCAGCAATTAGAATTTAATTGTAAACACAATTTCAGTATGAAACTCAAAACGGCTGAAAACACGTGCCTATAATTTGTAAGAAAGTACTCTGATCACTAGGCACTGTGAAACAACAACAAAAATTTGAAAATATTATTACTTAATACTTACAGCCAACATATACAAGACAAAAATAAGTGTGTAAGCATAACAATTAAATTTTCATATGCAGAATAGGTAATCCATAGAGTAAGATTTCGATTCTTATAACATGACTTGCGTGTGGTACAAGGTTACTTTACTTTAATATTTTCAGATATGAGCTTCCATAAAAAGTAAGTACTGAAGATATCTGAGAAACAACATCCTCAGGAGATCTTCATATATCCCGGGACATTACGACTTGAACAGGATATCCTTAAGATGTTGATTTACGAAGTCCTCAGGATATCTGAAAATCAACATCCTGAGGAGATCTTCATATATCTCGGGACATTGAGACTTGAATAGGATATCCTCAGGATGTTGACTTAAGAAGTCCTCAGGATATCTGAGAATCAACTCAGGATATCCTAACTGCTTCCCGGGACATTGCGCGACTTAAATGGGATATCCTGAGGATATCTTGTGTTATGGGGGTGTAAACTCAATTCGTGGTAATCCACTTTAATTTTTGTAAAGGAGGTAAAAGAGTTCTGTTTTTCCTCACATTTTGAAAAAAAATGATTAATACTGAGTACAGCATGCAGTGATATATTTTCAAAGTTATAGGATCCAGACATTAACAAAATGCCATGAAACGCTACTTTCAAAATAAAAAAATAATTGCATTGCAATGGGAAAAATTACGATAAGTGAGTTAAGTTTTTATATTCTATATCCGTAATGTGTATCTGTTTATGATCTATTTAACTAAAGAACTATTTCATGGTTTAAACTTCTGCTGGAATGATTGGTGACATCTCTTCCAAATTTCATGTTCAATGGGGTTTCATAATCATATCAGATGTTTTACTTTCAGTTTCTGATCTGTGAGATAAGTCAGCTTTTATAGCTGAATTTTTTTTCTTTTTAATTTTATATAACTTTAAATGTGGTCTTTTGATATTGAAGTTGTAACATATAAGATAAGGTGATAATTTTTATTATTTTAGAGCAGACATTTTTCCCACTCATTTGACTTTACAAATATGAATTCCATTTTTTATATGCTCAGCTATCCAGCATTGAGCATTTCCCAAGCTTTCCAGGTAGTCAAGCTTTTATTGTACTTTCAATTTTTTTTCCCTTACTCTAAGCTCTTGCATGTATGATTTAATATTGTGTTTTCAAAAAATTCTTATTCCAGAATACAGCAAGAAAACACTTTGTTTAATCACGATAAACAAATATCTGGTCTTTTAATCACATGTTAGAATAGGTGGTACTTTTCCGTTTCACCGGTGCAAATCTCGCCAAGCAGACTTTGTTGGCGATAATATACAGTATACACATAAAAAATTTTAACGAATGTTAGTTCTAAAAAATTTTTATTTTGAAGGCATAAACATTTTAATGTGGTTTAAAATTTTGTCAAAAGCCATTAAATAAAGACAATAAATTTGTAAAAAGACATTAATTTAAGAATTTACTTTGCTATCATGGTTCAACATCTTGATTTGTCGGTTCATATCAAATGATCTCGTCTCACATAAACTATGCTACAAAAATATAATTCTCTCAGTAATTATCTACATTAATTTCAAGTTAAATCTTAATTATGAATACAAGTTTAAATGCAAGAATTATTTCAATTTGTACGAATAGCTTACTCAGAAATTACGTAAAACCGCAGTGCTTTACTTCGCTAGTGCATTCTCATTAGAATTGATGAATCCCTTGATTTTACCTTTTCTATATTTTCGCCTGTGAGTGGTGTGATTGCATCCTAATTGACTTAATTACCGCAAATGGTCTTAGGGCATAAAATTTAGTTATCTTTGTAAATATTCTATGTAATTGTATGCCAGTATTGAAAGAAACAATGAATCTGGTAAGAAATGACTGCGACTTGTTTTGAAAATGAGGCGTAAAAGGTTACCAGCGAAGATATTTCGTTTGGCATCAGTTGTACCATTATTGGCGACTTTATCGTTTGCGCCGGCAAAACGGAAAAGTACAGAACAGGCTATAAATTTTAAGAAAAGATGTGGAAAAGGAATTGTTTTGATGTTTACTATATTTAATAACATTTGCTGTACACAAGCAACAACTGATGATTAAAAAATTATTAATAGATAAACATTAAAATAAGTTTTCAAAATTGTAATTTTCTGTCCCAGTATACTATTAAACTGTATATGTGTCAAGTGCATTTTGCATCTGATTTTATTTTAATGTACTTTTTCAGTTAGGTTTGACGCTTACCAAGACAATTAGTGACAGTATTTCTCCTTATATGGTAAGTAGGTGCTCATTTCTATATTTTATGAATATTATAATAGATAATTTCTTATTATCCACATTCCCATGAAAAATCAGCAACTTTGTGACATGACAAAAAATATTTGTTTTTCTTTATGGCTTTTAGTTACTATACTCTTCATAAATAATAAAAAAAAAAAGAAGTTTTATGAAGGAAAAAATATGTAACCAATATTTACATTTTTACATCCAGTGGATATTATTTGGTTAAATATAAAACATATAAATCCATATGTACTCAAACACTTGTTGTATGTGCATATGTGGATTGGTTATGGTTTTGCAGTAAAGAAATACCTAGTTAATTAAGAGAGGGGCTTTAGTTTCTCCACTTCTATAGCATGTTTCCAAAAATTCTGTTTTAATGTTTTGCCTTGATAATAATTGCACATTTTGTCTACTTTTTCATTATAACTGTCATGTGTTGATTGTTATTGATATAAACATCATATTATAAAATGTGTAGCGACAAATCAGAATGTTTGACATCACTGATTTGTGCTTGCTGTTTCTTGCAGCACATAAAATCTGGCTTCATGCTGGTCCATCATCTGTGGTACCCTTGGCTTACTTGCTATTTTTTGCGTTACCTAAACTTTTCTTAGCCTTTGCTGTTGTCTTACATCATTCTCACGTTTCCTGTTGTCTTGCTCACTTGTACAATGCATCAGTCATCGAGAATTTTGATCATTACAGATTTAAAAAATTTCTTGATTTTAGAACATTAATTTAAATATTGTAAAGTGGCTTGTAGAAATTATAAAACTTCAAATGTGAAATGGCTGTTTGTGAAATAAGGAAGTATTTTGATTACTTTAATGGGATAAAAATTTCCAAACGAAATCTTGGTGTTTTATTATGTTTATTAAAAATATTTATTTTGTTTTATTAAAAATTTCGTTTGATACAAGTTTTTCTGTGTGTTATATTAATACTTTCTCTTTAGTTTTATAGAGAGATAGAATTTCTAAAGAATTTATAAATGAAAAAGAATATGCTGTTCCTTAGTTGTCCCAAACAGAGAAATCAAGCTGCATAATTCTTCATTAACTCAATCTTTATCACAATATTGTGCAATTGGCGAGAGGCACGCAACATCATTCACATCGGTACTTTCATCAAGAGCAATGCTGAATGCAACAGTTTCTTGTAATCCAGAATACAGTTTTGTTGTTACCTTTTCTGTCATGTGAATTACTAGTCTTTCAGTAGTTTTGGCAGCTGCCAGTATTTCTTAAATTTGGGATAATATTGTTTGTAGATTTGGTAAATCGTTGAACGATATTTCAACACTTTTTTAAAATATGTGTTTTATATTTTCTTCATGTGGGAAAGATTTGCCTTTGGCAGCTACACAGTGAACAATTACAAAGCTAAATTCGGTCACTTTAGGTTTGGTTTGTTTGACAAAAAAAAAAAAAAGTGTAACTTGTTTCTCATATCCAGTAACAGCTCTTTTTATAACTTCACATTTCTCATCGGAATTCTGAAATGTAGACTGAAAGTTTAGTTTGAAAATGTCTTTGTACACTTGATATGCAATATGTGAAGCTTTCACGACATAACATACATACATCATGATCCTTTTGTTTTATAAATCCGTGTTCATTCGTCCAAGAGTCTTGAAAACGACAAACGTCAAGCTTTCCTTTTTAAATGGCCTTTTGATTAAATATGTAGGTATGAATTGTCACAGTAATTAAGTAAGTTTTCACGATAAATTTAATAAAGTATTGTAAAGCTAAAAATAACCTATAGTGCACAATGTGCATCAAGCTAAGTTCTACTTTTGACTGAAATCATGCTCAATAATTGTGAATTGACACCTTGAATTGAACGAAAGAAGAAAAATGTGTGAGCCATAAGGTGAGGTGACGAGAGACTGTGCAATTTATCTTTATCTGATACCTTTGTAGAGTGTGCTAAATGTACCACGTGCCATAGATTGCCGACACCTGCTCAAGAACAAAGTCAAATACATCCTCAGCAGTGACTGTTTGGTGGATTGTACAAAGAGAGTAGTGAATGTTTTATTGTTAGAGTTGCATACTGAAGTGCAGTGGAATTTCGCAGGAACAAATGGCATAAATTTGGCAGAATCTGCCAGCTTTCCTGGTTCAGTGGTAGCCAACTTTCACAGTCAGCAAGATAATACTTAATTACCAAAAATAATAATTACCTTCAACTGAATTTGAGGGTTGGCTGTTTCTAAAGTAATTTAATTAAAAATTTTGCAAACGGTTTTACTTAATCACTGTTATGAAATCAGAAGAAAAAAATAATATCTGCTATTTCCATTATAGATTTCCTGTTTCAGGACTTCTGTCTTTTGATGAATGAATTGTTATGCCTTAAAACAAATTACGTAACTAGTGTGAATTTAATTTTTCAGGAAAGTCAGCAGAATAAATGTTTTCTAGCAGATGATGCTTTAACAACAGATGGAAATATCCAGATAGTATCTTTCCTCATGGATCTCAAACACAATGAGTAAGTGTTATAAATATGAGGTATTCCAGAAAATCCATTTGATAATAAAAAAAATGTGAGGGAGTTAGCTGAGCAAAAGTTGTTTTATTTTTAAAGTACATATTTTGTTTTATTATTACACATAAACACTCATAGCATTGGAGCATTTTTACTGTGAAAAGAATTTTTTTATATCCTCACCATGAACTTTTTCTACTAGTTCTTTACAAAATGCAGTTACTGGGCTGGAACTTTTTGATACAGTAAATTTGCCAAAAAGTCACCTCTGGCCTCATGTTTGTGATTATGATATTTTATTAAATTAAAGGATTTTGGGGAGAAAAGGGCTTTGCTTATATTGAATAACTTCATTTTTAGTGGACTGAATGTAGAATCATAACCCAATTTATGTACTTTCAAAATAAAAAGCTTTTGCTTAAATAGCATGTTTTGTTCTTTTTTTGTTACTAAATAGATAGCTACATGATGTGTACAAGTGCATTCATTGTTGTTTGTTTTTATACACTGAAATGCTACTGAATTAGGGATATCAAGTCAATGACAAGTTGGGCCTCTTGTGGCCTTGATTATAGCTGCCATGCGACAAGGAATAGATTTAATAAGTTTCTGGAAGCATTCTATGGGAATGGCTTGCCAAACATTGCATAGAGCTGTCCATAATTCAGAAAGGGTTGTTAGTGTTGTGTGATGTGGTTTCATACCTTTCTGCAAAATGTGCGCAGTAGGATTTAAGTCAGGGCTTCTAGGTAGCCAGTTCATGACAGAGAAGTCAGAGAAATGCTCATTCAACCAGGTAGTTGCCAATTGGGACCTGTGAGATACAGTTTTCTTGCTGGGATACTCCATTTCTATGTGAATGACAGGACAAAATAAATGGATGGAGATGATCACCCAGCAACGCTAGATACCGAGATCCCACACACTGCCAAGAGAAAATACCCCAGACCATGATTGAGGTGTCAGGGCCTTGTACAATTCTAACCTAACATGCAAGATCCAAGGCTTCATGATCTTGATGCCATATTCTCAGCTTCCTGTTGGTGTTAAGTAGTCAGAACTAAGACTCAGCACTTCATGCTACTTGTTTCAAGTCTTCTAGAGTACATCTGTTTGTGTGGATTTTGCATGCCCAGACAAGACGTGCAGCTTGATGGCATGCATTGAGCAGTGGTACTATCGTGGGTCTATGGTGCCCGAAGCTTATATGGTGAAGCGAGCATTGCACGATCTGTTTACTGATTGGACAACTAGTGCCGTGATTCAACTGGTTGGTAATTTGACCTAATGATTGGTTTGTTTGGCTACGTATGATATGGCTGAACTCTCTCGCATCACGCTCGTTTAAGGCTAATTATCCTGTGCAATTTGCTAGTTTTTTCCCACCATATTATGTTGTTTCTTGATATACTCTTGGCACTGTTGACCGAGAAAATTCTAGCCCTCTGATGATTTCGGAAATTGAACGGCCCATGTGTCAAGTGCCTACTATATGTGATTAAAGGTATCTAAATCAGAAGTTTTATCCATGCTGGCAATTAAAATGACTTATTAACAATAACCATAGTACTAGCTGTATATATGCAGTTAGCACAACATAAGTGCTGCAGAGCGATAAACAATTTGCATAGCCATGTCTATGCCTAATTCAGTGGCATTTCAGTGTATTATTTACTTCTTTACTCAAGTTAGTATCATTTTAAATGTGCTATAAAGTTTAAATCAAATCTGAATACGTGTGAGCTAGCTATTTTAAAAAATGTAGATAGCCTTCAAGACTGCAAGCAGTATGTATTAGAGAAGGGAGGCACCCAAAGAACCTAAAGGTATTCAACACTAATTACTGAGTAATTGACAACAATTCCTTCATTATTATTGTTGTTGTCATAAATTTTCATCTGAAATTTAAAAAAGGGGGATACCGAATGCCGCAAAATCTATTTTATATTTTTACGAAATTTTTTTATGTGAGCTGGTGAATTAGTCTGATTAAAACTTTATGCAAAGCTTGAAATGGAGCAGGGGGGATGTTTCATTAGTGTTTGGGGAAATTCAGATGCATCGTTAAATCATTTAAGTGATAATTTTATGTACTGCTTCTAAATACATTCTGTCAAGGTAAGTTCTTGGATTTATAAAACTGCAACCAAAAAAAATTCTTAGCTGTGTTAAATTTAATAGTACACTACCTAAAGATCTTCAGATATTCAACAACTAGAGAGGAATAATCTAATAACACCTGATTCAAAGCTTTATTGTTTAGCACCATATCTGGACAGTATAGGTATTTTGCCTGTCAGAGGTGGAACAAGTAGAATTAATAGATGATGAAAAACATCCTAGTATACTGCCAAAGTTCACAGAACTAGTGATATTTAGTGAACACATAAAACGGGGTTCGTACGGTCCTTAAGAGTCCTTAAAAGTCCTTAGATTTTTTGGAATCGATTTTTGGTCCTTAAAAGTCCTTAATTTTGGCCAAAATCGGTAGAAGGTCCTTAATTTTAATCATCTGAAATTTCTGTCTGTTTTTATGACTGCCATTTTGAGTGTGAATTAGCATTTTGGAGGAATACTTTTGGCGATTCACTGACATATATGGTTATCTTTTGAATGGGTTCATGGTTTATAATTTGTTTCTATTTCTAATAGAAATGATGGGATACTCGAATTTCTAAGCAAGAAGTGAAACATAAGCATTTTAAAATTATTTTTTTCTAATAAAGAGCTCTTAAACAACTTCTCACTTTGGGGATGTGAATTATTTTATTAAACAGTTCTAAATTTCGCAACTTATCAACATTTTGGCGATTTTAAGATTAGTTTCTATAGAAAATTTTTCATTCCGAGATCTGAGAATTTTTCGACGATTTTTTTTAAAACATCGTAACATTGATAAATTTCATTAATGGTAATATATTGAAATTATATTTAAAAAATAAGATTAAAATAAAAGATTATTACTTTTTGCTGTCATATTATAAAGTTTCATTTTGGCAACTTATTATACAATATTTTTATTCTGAAAAATAAATAAGGTAGAATGCTATAAAGTGCAATTTATGAAACAGCTCTTAGCAAAAGCAAAATTAGCTATGTAATTAATTAAAAATGTCTTTTTAATTTTTTCATAGCAAGAGTTTTTCCCATGTGATTGTCTCAGAATATTCAAAGTTCTCAGAATATGCATCAGTTTTCTCTATAAAATTAATTTTACACTTTTTCCCTCCTTTTTTTTTCCGAAATATTTCTGCCTTTTTGCTCTTGCAGAATCGGTAGGGATAATTTTTCTTTGGGATTTTAGGCATTGTAGCTTGAAAAGTTTAGAAGGATTTGAAGGCAAGATTTATAGACCCACGATTCTAGAAGATTCGAGAAATATATGACAAAATGAAAAATGTCTCCATGGTATCAACATGTAATGAATGTATTTTACAGAAAGTTTGCAATGAATTTCTTACATTTTGGAGAATGTCTGGAAGGGCAATGAAAACATAATATTTGAATATTTTACTTCTGATACTAGAATCGTAACATGTTTATCTTCCCTTTATTTTCTCTACTTTTCACTAGACACAAGCATGAAAAATATCAAAAACGCTTCTAATCTTATCACATGTGCAGGCATTATAGATAGGGATGTTTTTATTAATAAATAAATTGAAAATTTACAATTTAAAACATTAATCTAATATGTCTTAATCCATCATACATGGAGCTGGTATACATTTTTCCCACCTGATGCAATCTCTATGGATCCTAAATTCTGCTGCCTAGTGCCCTTCTAAGTTCTGCTTCCAATGTCTGCTCTAAATTCTAAAAGTTTTGCCATTTCTAGATTTTGTTCTTCGGTGTGTCACAAAATTCTAAAAATTCTGGCACATCAGCTCTGTAACCGGCCTTTACAATATATATTTTATATTTCTTTTGAATGTTCATATTACTAAAGAAATATAATCTTTTGTATAATTCTAATGTATATCCTTTTGTATAAATTCTAAATGCATTTAGTGTTTTTTGGAATAACAAAAATCCTTAATTAAATCCAAAAATTCTAAAATGAAAAGGAAATGTGTTGAAGAAAGAAACTGAATACATTAAGAAAATTATTCTTCAAAGATATGTGCAGTTATTATTATGTAAATTACCCAATAGTTTATGATTTGAGCCTTTACTATAACTTCTCACTTTTATTTCCTCATATGATAGAGTTACTAAGCCAAATTAAATTTATAATATTTGACCACTAGTCCACATTTTTAGTTTGAATTAGACTGTTCTTGTTTAATTACGTCACCGTGAGCTGTAATTGATTTTGTTAGCATCATAAAATGCCTTTATGTTCTAAGTTCTTTTTAAATAAGAAGCTTATTTAAACATATGTCTGATATTGTAAATACTTTCAGACATAGCAATAATATGCTTCACATCTGTCGGAGGTTTCGGACTATTTTACCAGATTAAGTAAATCCTCATAGGTACATTGTGGAAAGGTTGACAAGCATGCAGAAACTAGCGAGAGCATTGGTTTGCATAGTGAGACAGATCTTTAATTGTTAGAAAAGATGCTTAAAGAGAAGGAAATCGATATAAAGTAGCCAAAATGTGTGGGAAGGCTTCAAATTAAAAATGACGGATAAATATTTTTTGAAACAAATATTGTTAAAAAATAAAATTTAATAGTGGCCATGTAAATCCATAATGACAAAGGTTATCAAACTAATTTAATTATTTATAACTAACTGCTTACCCTTAAAAATTATCCTTACATATTAAAGTGAGTTATTACCTTTCATTAATACTCACTGTGATCACAAGATAAAATAAAAAAATGTAAAAATTCAAGTAAAACTTATTCTTTGCATTAAGTGAGACTTAAAATAATACAAAACAGTTTATCACTTCTGGTGCTTTAATGGCTTATTGGAACCTTAAAGTATATCAACTGGGTTACACCCCCTGGAACTCTACATGAAGCTATGACACTAACTGCATCAAACAGAGCCTGACTAACTTTCAACACTTGTCAACCGTGCCTACGTCAGGCCTTTCAGGTTCATTCTAATCAGCAGGTCTCTCTCTAGACAAGCAGCAGTGGTGACAACATTCAGTCTTTTGTTAAGAAACATGCTGATTATTATCTTACTTCTCATTTTAACCTATACCATTAGACATAAAATCTACTTGCTATTTACTAAACCTCTAGACTGACCAAGTATGTGACAAAATGAGACATAAAAAAAATCAACATAAAGCTAACTGTTAGTAAAACGTAAATGTCACTTATTTCTTTCAAATATGTCCAACTATTATAAATATAAAATATTTAATGCTACTTGATAAATTGCACAAAGTTTATTTTGTTCCCAAATTTATTAATAATTTTGTTAATTAATTCATGTTTAGTAATAATGCATACTACTTAGTGATCTATTTCATTTTTAGGATGGTATTACAAAAGTGAAGTTCAGGCATGGATAATATTTTTAATTGAATTTATTCAGTTCCCATTTGCTCATAGGTCCTTAATTTTTTCATTAATGGTCCTTAAAAGTACTTAATTTCTGTGTGCAGAAATGTGTACGAACCCTGATAAAAGTATTCCATTCAGGAGTTATGGCAACATTGTCCAAAGTCAGGAATAAATTTTGGATACCTAAAGGAAGACAAGTAGTAAAGAAAATTATTAATGCCTGCCTGGTGTGTAAAAAGTTTAGCCTTATTTACATGCGTCGTCACTCGTGCTGTACACATTGAAGTGGTTTCGGATATGTTAGCAAAATGTTTCATTTTTTCATTACGACGATTTATACATAGATGCAAGGTGATTTATTCTGATAATGCCAAGAATTTCTGCAGCACATGTCAAATAATTAAGGGATTTAAAAGATTCAGCATAGATCCTACTGTGTGAGATTTTCTAACATCCAAAGAAATTGCATGGAAGTTCATCCCTGAGCGTTCCCCCATGGTGGGGAGGGTTATGGGAGCATTTGATGAAAAGTATCGAAGAACCTCTGAAGAAAATCTTAGAGAAACCATTACTGACTCTCGGAGAGCTCTCTAAAATATTAATTGAACTCGAGTGTGTGTTAAACAGTAGACCCTTAACATGCAAGAGCAGTGAGCTGGGTGAATTTCACCCACTCACACATTCGCACTTTTTACTGCCAGGGGGTGACACATTTAACTTTCCTGAGCATTTTTTGGAAATATTCAACAAGGTGTCAGACAAAGAAACTTTAACTAGACAGAAGCTTTACCAATCTAAGCTCTTAAAATTAACATGGATCAAGTGGAAAGAATATTTATTACACCTTAGAAATGCACAAAATCCTTCAACTGAGGGTAACTTTAAGACTGGAAATGTTGTGTTGGTAGAAGGACCAAAACAATCTAAGCTATTCTGGTATATAGGAGTAGTTGAAGATGTAATTGTGGGATGAAGTGGGCATACACAAGCGTGCATCATTCGCACACGAAGGGAACAGTTCAGAAGAGCTATCCAGGTTTTATACCTTTTGAAATTTAATTAAGGACATTTGATGTCATTTTGAGCTTTTACATTGTTTATATTATTGATTATCATGTTCATTTAATTATAGTGTATCATTTGTGTTTTTAATGTAAGTTACTGTATGTTATTAATTTATAACTGTCATACTTTAGCATTAAGCCATGTTAATTTATATTAATATTGCTGTGTAAATTTTGTGTACTCTTATTTTAGAGTACACAAAAAGTGTTGTAGAAAAGGTTATAGAGGGTGCTGCGTCGCCACATATGTAGAGTTAATAAAAGAGTTTCAGTGGAGAGAGAGTGAATGGATATGGTGATGTAGAGGTGTGGTATTAAACCAGCTGTCATGTAACTCCAACAAATCTGTAAATATTTGTAAAAAGATTTTGCTTCATGAAGTAGAATTTGAAGAAAATAAGTGTCTTTATTCACTGCAACATGACATGAAAAACCCTCGATGTTACGAGTCAACAAATTAAGTTTTTATATCAATAGTAGGCATTATTTGATTTGTAAAGAACCTGGAACCCATTATCATCCATCAAACATTTATGAAAGAGATGCATACGAGGGCAGAATCTGTGTTTGAGGGGGTATCTCTTTGGGTAGATGCACAGACCTCCACGTCTTTCCACGTGGAACTGTGAATGCTCAGGACTATAAAGATGACATCTTTGATATTTATTTGTACCCTTATGCTGGGGACAATAGGTGATGATTTCCTGCTACAGGATGGCAATACTAAACCGCACAGGGCTCGCATCATGGATGATTATCTTCAGCAGTAAACAGTTGAGCGCATAGAGTGACCAGTTCGATCACCAGACCTGAATCCTATCAAGCATGTTTTGGGTTGCTTTAGGAAGATGTATAGCTGCTCTCAGTCCTCCTCTTCAGATCTTTCCACACTTGCAACTGCTTTGCAAAGACGATGGCTCTCACTTTATAAGGAACTGATAGATCACAGAACTGACAGCATCACATATCACTGTATGTGCTGCATTGCTTCTAGGGGAGATTGTATTCCATATTGAAGGTACTTTTCCTATACCAAACTGACACATCCGATGTGTTCATTTTATACACATGCTTAATATACCTTTTGGTATGTGAAATTATCCATATTTTGAGCCATTAATTTCCGTTTCTGAGCTGTCCTGGCCTCTTTTGATTTGCTTTTGTTTCATATTGTTTGCAGCATGTAGACTATTGGAACTTCAGTTTGGGTTTAAGACATTAATAAATACCTTTTTCAGAACATTAAATAAATTTTATAAGCAGTTAAAAAAAGTGTCAAAAATTTTTATTCTACATTCTTATTTTATTTTTATTTTTTATTTATTCTATATTCATTCTACAATTCTTATTTTATTCTATTATTATTGCCTCCTTAAGGAAAAAAGAGTATATCTACTTGTTAAAATGATATATATTCAGGAAATCTGTCGATCTAAAATGAGAACTTATTTTAAGCATAACCCTATATATATTGTATATTCATAAGTGGGCAAACATTTTAATATCTCCCTGCCATAATAAGGACAGACACTATATAATAACTGGAAAATCTTTAAAAGTACTTCTAAAATATAATGATCTGAAAAATTTGGAAATTTTAAAGTAATTTGCTTTTGATTTCCAATCCATAGTCTGTGACATTCAACTATCAGAAATTCACAAAAGTATGGGTGATATATTGTTTAACATACGCACAGAATCTTAGAAATTATACGTAACGCTTATGTCAAAACTTCAGTGAATGGACTGTTTTTAAAGTGTATGAATAATATATTCAAGAATATGTGAAATAGGAAATTTCAAATATTATTTTAATATTTTGTGCTGAAAATATATAAATTAATGCAAGATTTAACTTTTTTTTTTTAACAGAAAATTAGTAATACCAGGTAAAGTTTGATTGTCATCAGTTATTAATTTTAAGGTGGTGTGATAGCTGTAGCTTTATTTAACTTAAGTTGATAAATAAATGTGTAAAAATGTGGCAGAATATTTGGTAATGATACAGATCTACTGCTTTTAGTTAGTTATTTTTTAGGTGGTACCTCTAAAATTAGTTGTTTTAATATTTTTCCTACTATTTTATCACACATTCAGATGTGAAAGGCTATTGAATTTTTTATTTTATGAAACTATTATTATTGAATTATGAACAAATTAAATTAATTAATGGAATCATTTTCATTCTTGCATCCTCAATTATTTATGTTTACTTTCATATGTAAAATAATTAATTAATGGAATCATTTTCATTCTTGTATCCTCAGTTATTTGTATTTACTTTCATATTTAAAAATAGCATTTTAGTAGTATAGTCTGAGAAAGAACTAACTAATTAAAAGGGGTAGATCACTTATTATATCATTGCTGAACATTTTCTGAATAAATATATTTTCCTAGGAATAGACATTTTCTGCTTTCAGTTTTTTTTATTAAAATATATATACATAAGCATTCCAGTATTTGCATAATTATTGTGATTTTTTATTGTTAAAATTCAAGTCTATTGATTAATCTCTTAAAACATTTATAAGAAATGTGATAACTATCGAGGTAATTGTAAAAAGTAATATAATGTCTACCTTAAAGTGTACTTTAATGCATCTCAAGAAAAAGGTTTAGTTTATATGAATATGGCAAAACTCACAAGGGTTATCTGCCTAATAGGATGAATGCCTTTGTAAAGGACTTTAGAGGAAAGTGGCTCATATTCGCGTTGATCACGGGAAAAACTGTAAAATTCAACCATGCAGCCAGCCTATTTGCCTGGGATTGAACCAAGGTTTAACTCTCTCTATTCACTTGCCTCTAGTGGAATCTCAAGAAAAAAGAATGTGATGTTACTTTAAAACCTTTTATGCCATAAATTATTGTACGTCCTTAAATATCGACTTTTTTTATGAAATATTAAAATATATTGACTCTGAATTGCTTCTGGGAAAAAAATCTTCGAATTTTATAACTAATAGAATTTTTAGCTTCAAAATGCAGTATAATCATATTCATGTTTTTGCAACTTCTGTTCTTCTTATGTTGTTTTTTAATTGGAGGATGGAATTTATATGACTTACAATATATATTCTTACATTCTTGGAGGGGGGGAAGTAAAAATAAATTTTGAACTTCAGAATGGCATTGCAAACTGTTGTTTATTATTATTATTATTATAGATTGCTGGTTAACTGCAGTTCTTTACTTCCTTTCCTTGATATAAAGCCTGGTGTTGAGTCAAATTTGACTGTTGTTGATGAATTACAGAAATCCAGAGAAAATAGTCAACAGATGGTTCATAATATGATAAAACAAAAAAGATCTGTTAATAAATCTGAAGCAGGTAAGTGGAGAAATGTAGCTTTCATGAAGTATATATATATTAAATTTGTTATACAGGAAGTTCTGTTTTGCATGATTTTATAGCATACAAGCATTTGGTGAAATATATCGTAAGGTAAATAAAGTTAGACATGTCAGTGTAATAAATTGCAAATAAAGACCTATAACTGCAAACATGTGGCAATGAAAATACACATTTAGCAGTATTTTATCTATAATATATTGTTTTGAATCAAATAAAAATTTCAGGTACTTATGCAATTCTATTTGTGACAGTTGTTTAATCAAAAAAGAAAAAAAAAAAGGTATATTACAAAAAAACTTATGATATATGTTATTTACATCACAGAATGTAAGTAATCAATTTTGAAAGTTTTCTCATAAACATTTGCTGCCAAACTCTGTGTTATCTGAAGTGATCCAAGTAATAATAAGGTACATGCATGATGCAGTTTACACTGCGTGACATGCATGGTGCAGTTTTAGATGCCATTTGGGTCAACAGCATGCCAGTTTTTTGGGGGGGGACTTTGGCGATTCCGGATTATAGATCATCAATTTAAATCTGGTAAGATGGGATGCAGAAATTATAAAATTAAAAATATGAAACCGTAATTTGTGAAATAAAGAGCAATTATGATCTAAAAAATATCAAAATTTACAAAAAAAAAAAAAAAAACAGCTTAATATTTATTTGTTTACATTTCTTTCAACACGCGCATGCTTAAAGCATACATTACGCATAGTCGAAATTAGAATATTGCAACCAGAAAACTATTTGATGTGTATTCGTGATATTTATAATGACGAGGAATTTGATTTAAATCATATCAAAGATGAAGTACATCAAGATGAAGTACTACATTTTTTTTTTTTTTTTTTTTTTTTTTTTTAAGTTAAGAGAAGAATTATCAAATGTAAATATTTGCTTTTATTGCAGCACAAAAAGAAACAGTCAAAGAGAATTCTAAAGATAAAAGTATCGAAGTTAAAACTTCTGATGCCAAAAGCACTGCAAATGAGACTGATACTCCTCCACCAGAAACTTTTACCACCAGTGCAGCTCACCTCAAAACTTGTAGCTCTTTCAAAATTCCATTTAAAAGTGAAATCATTGGCCAGAGAAGAAAGATAACGAATTTAATGGTAATTAATGTCTCAAATTGTATGCTGTAATAAATTGTTTAATTCTTAAAAGTTTATTATTTTAACTATTTATAGTGATATTTGTATAACATGTAAAATATGGTTATGAACTTCTTTACTCTGTACTCACTAAACAATTTTGGGCATTGGCTGCCCTTGTACTTTCCTAAGAATTTGGCCTCCAAATTAAAAAAAAAATGCTCAATGATTAATAAAATTTTTATTTCGTACTCACTAAGTACTTACATATGACTAATTGTATAAAAGGTATACTTACATATGACAAGTACTTACAATGAATTTGATGAATTTAAAATATTTAGCCATATCACGAGAGTCGGGCCATTTCTGATTTTAGCCGCCCTCGTTTTTTTACTCGCTGCACCCCCACTAGAAACAGCCCTAGTGGCCTAGTGACTAAGTTTATCTAATACCTAATTTAATTACTTATAACTAGCTGTTTACCCTTAAAAATTATTTCCATATTAAAGAGAGTTATTGCTTTTCATTAACCTTTATGGTGGTCACAAGATAAAACACAAAAATGTAAGAATTCATGCAAAACCTGTGCTTCGCATCTAGTGATACTTAAAATGATGCAAAACAACTTATCACTTCTGGTACTTTAGTGGCTGATTAGAACCTTAATGTATATTAACTGAGTTAACAGGCCTTTCAGGTTTGTTCTGATCAGCAGGTCTCTCTCTATGCAAGCAGAGATGATTACAACAGTAAGTCTTTTGTAATGAATCATGCTGATTATGATTTTACTTCTCATTTTAACCTATGCTGCTTGACATAAAATCTACTTACTATTTATTAAACCTCTAGACTGAGCAAGTACATGACAAGATGAGACATTTAAAAAAAAAAAAAAAAAAAAAAACCCCACAAAGCTAACGTTAGTAAAACATAAATTAAATGTCACTTATCTTCTTCCAAATATGTCTAATTATTATAAATGTAAAATATTTAATGCTACTTGATAAATTTCATAAAGTTTATTTTATTCTCAAACTTATTAATAATTATGTTAATTAAGTTATGTTTAATAATAATGCATCCTACTTACAAATCTATTTTATTTTTAGGATGGTATTACAAAAGTGAAGTTCAGGCATAGATAATATTTTTAATTGAATTTATTCAGTTCGAATTTGCTCGCAGGTCCTTAATTTTTTTCATTAATTGTCCTTAAAAGTATTTAATTTCCATATGCAGAAATGTGTATGAACCCTGTATAAATAAATGTTAAGTAATTTATTTGATATGGAAAGCGTAGTACAATAGCACTTAATGTTATCACATTTCTCGATGATCACTTTGATAATATTAACCAAATGCTAAGTTATGAGAAAAACCTCTGGAATTGAACTAATTTGATATAAATATAACTAAAAATATATAAATATTTACTTTCACAGCATTTTAATAAGTTATTAATTGTGTGTTGTCTGCAATTGTTTTGCAAATGCTTATTTATGAAGTATTCATAATCATAATATTACTGTAAATATTTGACCCATCTTATACCCTTAATCTTAATAG